TAGAAAAATAGATTCAACTTTCGGCATTCACACAGACATAATTGAGTAAGAGTTATTATATACTAATTCCTGTTCAGTTCTACGAAGGTCATTCCTTACTTCGTTCGTTCTGTACCTTACTTGAATCCTGTCTGACGCTTATTGTCCTCGAAGAGCGAATCGGGTATATATTTAGCAGTACGAAGTAGTAGAGGTAATCGAAGTTATCCCTAATGAATGGGCAGAGGGACGCATGCCTAGAATATGTGCAGATCAATTGCTGTATTGTTTATGATGTATGCTACGGGATGCAACGTAGAAGATCGAATAAACCAACCTTAACTTAAGTCTAAGTTACAATGTTTTGATCGAAGAATAATCCGACAAAAGAGAAAAACTTCTAACAGCGTTTTATTTTGGTCAATCATCTGCTTGGGTCGAATATTACTTCTGCAGTTGTCAGAGCAAATGTATGCGTACTATTAATTATCGAAGAGCTGCACACGAAGAGGAGAAGAAGAAGAAGAAAAATGTAAAATAGTGGTTATTAGTTTTGGCAAAGCCAAATCTAACTGTCGAAATTAAGCCCCACGAAGTACATTCTGTTTTCAGGGTGTCCGGCCTGACATAGTGTTACTCAAACGTACTTGAAATCTAGAAATTTCTACCCTGAATTGAGCTCGATCTTACGTTGTCCCTAAAGTGATGAAGTCTTGTTTATCGCATAACCAACATTAACTAACTTAAATCGCGCAACTAAGCTAAAAATTTCGCCGAGGACCAATAGCAAATTGCTTTTTTATACGAACGTTTGCCATTGACTTAATACGATGGGCTATATTCTGTTTTGCGATAGTTTTTAACTATACACGACGAAAAAGAAGTAGTATACTTCGCTATCTGTAATGTCTTCGCTATTACTTCTAAACCTTTTAGATATAAAAGCGAAAGAGGAACCTATTGTGGACGTCTTTCATGTTTAGGGTATTTATGGTACGACGCATCTGCTAAAAATTGACATTGATCGAAGATTAATTAATTTTTTTTCTCCTCCTCCTCCTCCTCGAGCACCTTGGAACTACCCTTCATTTTATTTCGATAGGCTGGTTGGGGCTAAAATAGACCTGTTCGAGAGGTACGTATTTTTACAAATTTTAATGCCGTCCAATCTGTCCGTACGCGTATATTTTATGGTCGGCGGGAAGAGTCGCCATTATGAGTGCGATCAAACCTTTCAGCATTCGTGTTTTCTCACGACAGAGCGATTCCAGGCCGCAAACCTGATTACCATGTATAGAAGTGTTCGACAATAATGAAGGACAATATCTTGAGACACTGCGTGCACTTTGTATGCAATTTGGTCTTAATTATGCTGCCTCTAATACGAATTAGAAGCACTTTTTTATTTTTTTTTATTATTATTTTATTAGAGGAAAACGGCTCGGTGTGCAACAGACGACGTTCAGTAGCGCGTCAGATCTTTCGACCGCAAGACTTACATCGTCGATTCAAGGTCCCGTTCTGAGCCGATTGTTGCCGCGGTGGGCTGACTCGCACTGGATGTTTTGAATTGGGCGACGCCCTTCAGTTATACCGAAATACAGTCCTGGGCTGCGAATAAGGGTTGTGACGGCACTGACCCACTTTCGCTGGCGAGTTCTCAAAGATAATTTGTGTAAAATGGCTGCAGTAGCGCACGCTTTTCACAATTATTTATGCGAAGTTTTACGAACGGCATAATACGAAGCTTTTACTGGGTGTAGGCAACGTTGTGACCTGGGTTATTCGCCTCACTGCCCACAAGTTCAATCGCTGGCCTGTCAAACTCAGTAAATAATTAAAGAATAGCAGCAATAATGGTGTATAATGTATAATGCAACTATTGACGGGTCTTGAATAGTCTCGTAAATATTTTATTCCAGGAATCATGTTATGACATTAGCTTTAGCCAGGCTCGTGAAGCGGTTATTATGTACGGAGTAAAATAGTGCATAGAGCTTAGTGCGCCATATGTTTAAATGTTTGCAATGCTATCTGACAAGAGTATTACAGCAGCTAGCATCTGACCAACAACGTAACGTCTTCACAGTTTGTATCAGTAACGTTTTTTATTTTTCCTAATGAAGTCTTCGAGACGTCTTCATTTACATGCAAGTGGAACGTAGTTGAGAGTAAATACATTTGGAGTGCACGAGTGAAAATGAGACAAAACCTACTAGCGAAATCGGTGCCAGTCATATGTTGCTGGGCTAAATGGTCGCTGGTCACCTACCGGTTCGAACTACCTAAAGCTGTTGGAAATTATTTCACGGGTTAAACAGATACTTCTTTATTTACACAGCGGTTGTACTGTATATTGTAAGCAACAGGATCTGAAGTTTACCGTTACACGTACTTTCCATAGCAATACTTTGCATCAAGAGCTTGTAAAATATGAAAACTACCGACAAAGAACTTTATTGAAGAAGAATCACAATTTTAAACCACAAACACGTATTTAATGGCCTTTATATATTACTGTATTATACAGCTTATATCTAAGGATACAAAACGCTCATTCATATTTTAGCATCTGTTCGGTGAGACGACCAAAAAATTTCAAGCCTATATCCTCTACACGCTAAAAATAGCTAGCAATTTGGCTCGTTTGTGTATTTTGTACTTTAAGATTTACTGTCTGAAAACAACCACGGAGTCCATTGCAGAGTAAATCGCATATCTTCCAAGTTACAACTTATTGTTTTCTTTCGTACCACCTGATCCGAGGTAAGGTATGAGAAGAGGATCCAAAGTACGTTAGCTATTATGTACTTCCTGTACTGTATAGATAGAGTGATCCATCTTACACTACTATATCACTCGAAATTCAGCCTTCATATATACCCTACTGAGGTAGGTACCCTACTGAGGTTAAGGATGATAACAATTTTTTCAATGCCTTTGATTATTTTCATAGTGTAAATAATTCCTTAGGGTCAACCCTTAGGCAAGGCACTCAGGGCCTGCTCCCACTAGAGGATTTAAGTGAAGTGAGCCTTGCTCGATCTATATGGGATTTTTACAACACTATTTCGTATTTATTAGCTATTAAAATATGGCGTTGATGATACTTGATGCAAGTAGTCAGGCAAGCATATATATTTCACTAACTGGAAAGCGCCATTCATCGGTAACGTAACTTTGAAATTGCAATTCAGTTGAAGGCATTTTTCACAGATGCCCTTTATTAAGATTGTCTATTATACGATACGAACTTAAATATAAGATGGTCAACCAACAGGACCTACTACTTGCATCTAGAGTAAGAACATACCGTCACAAAGACTAGAAAATCAAGTATTTCGTTGAACATAACCCTTTTTTCCGCCTGACGTGGTTGAACTATTATTATTATTATTATTCGGCCAAACAGTAGATACATCAACCATTATAAGAGATGCAGCGTCAAAATTGCGTATCGCTGTTTATCATTATGTTAGAAAATTATGATTTTTACTAGAACGATATTAGGTTAGCTAACAAAGTTTCGAGAGAAAGATCTGCAAAGCAATAAACGCGCCCGACACAAACAGTTTTTTTTTGAAGACCGAGGAGAACGCTGTCAATGTAACGTAAGCACTTCACGCTGCTGCTTTAACACTGGAGCCGGCATCTTAGCTATAGGGAGTTGTTTCGTATTCTCTAAGAAAAATTCAATTGGGTCGGGACTGGCTCCTAACGAATTGCTCAAACTGCTTAAAGTATAAAGTCGTTTTTCAGTACTATGATTTAGTTCAGCTACGGTAACTTATTGGAATAAAGGAGAGAAAAAAACACGAAAAAAAAAAAGAAAAAAGAGACACGGAATTCTATATAGTAGAAAAGTATAAGTTTGACTCATGCAAAGGAACTGTAATAGGCACTGTGAAATGAAAAGTAACCATCAACGGCAGCATGCACTTGACCTTCTAATATTCAAGAATACCAGGACGCTCACTTTATAAAACGTGCCGTAATACCGTCCTAATTTTGAAAAAAATGCAATCAGTCATTACAGTTATATTCGTCAATAGGAACGGAGCTTCAACGGTCGATGTCACCGTAATTTGCTAGAGCAACCACTTTCTTGTTTGGTTCCCTAGCTGAACCCAACATGAAACTGTTAGCAAAATGCCCAACTGCTAAGTACGTATTGCAGAACATTGGGTCAGTTACAAATGAAAAAAGAAAAGGATCCGCCGGTATCGCGACGCAAACTGTCTGAAACTATGCCTACATAACAGTGGGCAACGCTTACAGTTTCAATTCAGACCACAGCTATGTCAACGTCCTCCTACATATTCGCTTAGACTCTTCACCTTTGTTGCATGTATAGGCTAAGGTCGAGTAGATTTTCCCGTTAGGACATCATTTCGAGCGATCCTCAATAGATCTTCACCAGCTACCCAGAAATCGCAGTGCACCAATGCTCAAACATAACACAGAATTAGCTCAGGGAAACAAGACATCGTTTACCTAAGCCTCAAGGCATTGTTACAAATGCCTAGCTAATAGGCCGAGTGTGCGCACCTTAATAGCGTGCAGGGAGGATTATGGCATCGGAAACGATGAGGCCCTTTAGGCCCGGCGTCGGCCAAAAGCCTGAAAGCTTTAAATATTTCTGTCACCTACTGAGACATGAATGAGAACAGCGTTGTTTATGGAACAATACAAACATCTTTAATGTTTATTACACGCTCATATATAAAACCGTTGATGTAACAAGGACGTGTATTCAATGTGCAGTGACGGAATTTGAGCTGTTTCTATATAAAAGTGATGACTTCACGCTAACTAGCTAGCGGAATAGCTAAACAATGAAGTGGTTCAACTACAGACTTTAGTCTCTTCGACACCTAAATCACCTCGTTTTGTGCCGAATTAGCTGTCTGCTGAAAACATCCAGTTAGTACTCTGAACCCGCCGTATTCACACCGGATACATGAGATAGCCATGCATATATACGGGCGGGAATTTTCGACGGGGAGCGTTGGCGCAAATCACTTCCGTCAGGCGCAGGAAGAAAACAATTAAAGCAAAAATTAAAAAAAGGAGGAAAAACATGCATCAATAACTCGACACAATTTTCAATGGCACATCTCGAGAGCGAATCTACAACGTTAAATACTATCTACAATTTGACCTCAGGAACCACTGCTATATTGTTTACGCACAAAGTAAAGCGAACGTTGTTTATATTTGGTATCAAAATACGGTCGGCCTTAACAGTTATCGTGGTTTTTTTTTATATACTATCAATTCATTATGTTAGTTTGTTAGTACGATAATTAGTACTGCGTAATGAAACGCAGACGGCAACAGCGAGCCTAAAATGAGATTTCCGAAGGAAAAACCTAGACAACTGAATTTCTAGACAGTTTCAAAAAACAAATGTACGTCTCAGTAGAGTATTATTTGCTATTCACAGCACAAGCAAGCAAGCAAGCAAGCAAGCATACTTACAACGTATAGAGAAGCTGACAATCTAAATCGGGTCAGATCTGCTCCCGAGCAGAGGTATCTCGTGTTCGAGTCTGAATAGCTAGCTATATGCGTTCATTAGTGGATGCCGGTGGCAAAAAAGTAGGTCGATCATTCTCGCCATAGGCTACGACTGAGTATGTGTATGTACGTACATACATCATCAAATAGATATTTAATGTTTTTGTAACCCGTACATCTAGAATCCTATAATCAGACCTCGTGTACCTACGCCATCTACAAGCCACTAGCATCACAGATTCACAAAGGAGTGCTACGATCACAAACATTCTTCTTAGCTATGACAAGCGCACGGCGCAACGGCTACACAATAGTAGGGAGCCTGAAAGGTTAGCATAACCTTTCTTTCCTTTATGTATACCAGCTTACGAACTGTGTTACGGCATTGATTTAGTGTTAAAGGGAAGCAACATGTAGAAAGCTGAAACCGGTTTTTGTTCGCGCTGATCAAGAATTATATCTAACCATATAACCTAAGCAGCATAACATTATATGCTAATCAGCCGTTTTGTGCAGTTGTGCCGTGAAAAACCAGCTTTCAGAAATCGCTTTGTTACCGGATTGCCGTTCTACCTGCAAATATAAAGAATTATGTTTTTATTTATATTGTTCATTGCGTTTGACCTACATGACTCAACCAGCTGCCAATGGAGGACGCTAAATTAAGTGAAGACTGAGAATTCCCACTTTCGAAAATTATCCGGCGGCTCAGGTTATGTAAAAAAAACCGACTTCGCGCGATTCCAAGTTAACGTAAGTGGCAGGCGTTCAAAAACAGGAAATAGGTTGCATATATTTTTGTACCCACTGCTTTACGTACAGTAGAGGGTCAGCCCCTTAAACACTTTGTATTTATCCACATTTAACAAGCTCGCAATAATTATGATACCAATTACCGAATATTTACCGAAAGTTTATCTGGGAATGATGATATTACAGGTCCTTTTGTTCTCATGATTCGCACTGAACATGTTTACATGCCACGTTCGCGCATTGTCCTTGGCGTATTGTTGGTCAACATCAGTCGATGACGCACTCGCCGACCTCGGGGGGCCTCCAGCTAAGGCTGACTCTAGTATTTTTTGATTATTCAACGGAGGCGCTGACGGCGAAATGGGGGCTATCGCTTTTGTCTGGTTGTTGCTATCCTTCAGACTCCTTTCTCTGCTGACTTTATCAATGTCCTTGACTTTGTCCCGAAGCGGAGTCTTCTGCGACGTCACCTTCTCCGTGTTCATCTTCATTGATTTCTTCGTCGTCCAAAAGAGGACCGAATCGGTCTTTCTGGCGAAGAAAAGTGTAGCGTCACCGTGGGGCTGAATCGTTTAATGGGGGTAATGACTGAATACGACCATGTGTACGGTATGGAAACTAACAATACGCGCATGTACACAATATATGCATGCACGTAGAGCACATTGCTACGTTTTAGTTGGTGTTAGGCAAAACGCCTATACTGATATAGGGGAAAACAATAAGGCCCAATAAAACCCTGTCTTACGCGTTAATGAGTATTTGTTAAGACTACGGTCGCGCTTTCGTTAGAAGCACTAACCACTGTTGGGATGTCTGTTTGTTGGACGACTAACGAGTTTACAAGCACATTTTAACATTGATTATTTAGCCAGTGACATATAAAGACAAACTTATGAGTGTTGTTTTTCGTAGGACACACAGCCGTGCCTGCTGTGATGGCGGACCTAGCCTAGATTAACTGACATATAAACACACACACACACACACACACTCTAAGGAACGCGCGTCAGCAGGTTCCTATGTTATTACACGAGACGCCTTTCACCTATTGGATGTTAGTTGATAACGAAACGACTCCACAGTTGGAGAGCTAGTTTTAGCCAAAAGAAAAAATAGGCAGTGCACAGTCACATGGACTTGGGCAGTGCTTAATTACAATGTAATCAATGACTCTATAGAACATTATGATTGTAAAATTAAACTATTTTGCACAGTTTCGTCTGCGTTATCGAAGTAAATATTGAACATAATAACAAAAAATACAAGGATTACTGACCACGGCTCAAGCCATCAAGTTGTCACAAGGCGGTAAAAAAAGAGTAAGTTGTATATGAACAAAAAGGCTGCGGTTGAAAGATATTTGAACACGCGATTATGGAACGTGACCGAGCCGTTTTATTAAGGCCTAGGCGAAACTGAAGTAAGTTTTCCCCAAAGCAAAGCATGATAGAGGAACTCAGGCTCTTAGAATATTACGTTCGGTTTTAGTATGGGCATGCGAAAGCAAGCGAACTATAGTGGCCTGAGATAGAAAGATGAAATTTATCTGTAGAAAATAAGAATATATGAAGCGTTTATACTTGTCTGCTTTTTTACTCTCAGATCTAGTCAAGTACGTCCATTATACAGCCAATACGTTTACAAATAAAAAACCGAGTCTCTTAAACTGCCATATGGTCTCCATTCTTCTTTCTTCACAAACGATATATATCGTAAACAAAGTGATTATACATATATATGCAAGACCTGCCTCACGCTGACCGCGTGAAAAGCATAATAAAGGTAATCGACAATGGAAAAATTTTTACCTAGGTGGTCGTAGCTCGAAAAAACAGAGTACAAGAGGACATTTAGCCAATTGCTAACCTTGGATTCCTTTTTAGCCAGAATGACCACATAAATGTATGCGCCCAGAGCAACCAATGACCCGCACATCGTCATGAACCGGAAAGCAAATTGCGCATAGAACAAAGGCCTATCCAGTAGGACCCGAATGTGGTCGGCAAACGCCGGGGTCTGCTCGATGACCTGCAATGCGAATAGGAAATTTAGCAGTGGAAAAGCAAATTAATATTAGTCGAATCTATGAAAGACGAGAAGGTATATTACACCGGTGTTTATTTACTACTGGGATATCCAGCTGGTTATGGTAATCTGCTGGGCAATTTTTTTTCACAGCAAACTAGCTAACGGAAGAAATTATACAATGGCCATATTTGTTGTAAATATTTTAGTAAACGCATTATTATTAAAGAATTTCGAGTACTGAAAGGGAGTAAGCAAACCTTTCAGCTTGTCTATGACTTGCGCGGAGGAGACTGGTTGTACTTGCTATTTATATTACGTTCTATGAAGAATTACTCACAACATCCTGCCAGAAAACAGGGAACACTAGTTCTGGAACAGAACGGAAATATTTCAGGAAGTCGACGCGCTCCAATTTGACGTTGATCTGAGCTCTCGCAGACAGCCCTAACGTTATGCCCAGACGCTGTAATATTAGGAACGATGCACGCATGTAAAGATCTGAACAAACTGCAGTGGCCATAAACGAACGCGCCCTCTCTCATTGTGAAGATTAGTGTAAAAAAATGATTACAAAATCTGACAGTACGAAGGATTCTAATACAAAATACAAAACCTACCGGTTCTATATCGATTTGAAACTGGTGCCGTTCTTGGTTCGGGCTTAAGCCTTCAACCTTTTCTAGGTACTTCGAATCTGCGGCATAAAAGTGAGGGTAGGAGAGCACGAGTGGAAGGCCAAATTGACAGCGCGAGAGATCCATTCCGCCGGACGGTAGAGATTTACCCGGTGTTTCGAAGCAGCGATTAGCCGGTTCTCGTGATGAGTTGAATAGCACCTGTCAATGAGTGCCAAAAGTGTTAACTTAAGTGAATAGGACTTCATTAAGCAATCAACATTCAATCTTTGAAAATAGAACGTAGTGATGCCAAGATGACACTGCATATTGAGACCTATTCGCACTTAAAGGTGCCAGACTTCACAACAAGTAGCCGAATCTTCATCTGTTATTTATGTGTCGGGAATGTTTAAGGTAATGATCTCTCCTATCGTTCTAAAAATATATAGGGCTTGAATGTTGGCTAACTAAACTCAGTTATTGCCAATCTCAGCACTGCCGTTTATTAAAATAAGTTTTGTTATTCCTCGACACGTTTTCCTAGATATTTTTACATTATATTGTTTAAATTATTCTGTTTTGCCCGTACAAAAGACAGAGTTATTGATATCTGCTAAGCTTATTTCACACAATAACAGAATAGCTTTCGGAATGGGTAATTCGCTAAAAACCGTTTAAGAACTAAATGCAGGGTAACACATGTATATGACATGAAAAATGGTAACATAATTAAGGACTGATTAGGGACTTTTTTAAAGGAACTTTCTTGGCTGTTGTCCTAAACAGCAGGTGTGGCCTCCTGATTAGAATGAGCAGTAAATAACACAAGGTGCTGAACACAGCAGTTATTTTTCAAACCTCGGGTCCTGCAACAAATCGTGTGAGGGTAATTCCTAGACTATCGACGTCGGGCGCTCGCGTTAATCTCCACGGCTTGCAGAAAACAGGATTGAAAAAGTAGATATGTTCGTCAGATGAAACGATTGGATGTACCAGCTCCCCATCTGTGAACCATTTGCAAGTTCTGTTAATAAAAGCTCATGTAGCCCAAGTGTCACTATGTAAGTTAGAGCAACATAATGGCTAGCACACTTTCTAATTTCGAAATTGAGATGCGACCAAAAATTCAGTTGTTTTTTGAAATATGGATGGAGACCTCGACTGGAAGAATCAGAGATTTTTCACAGCTCTAGAACAAAAATAGTGTTCGCGTTCACCGCGAGTCTGAACATGTTACTTCAAAGGCAGTTGCTCTTTATATTATTTCTAGAAGTCTTTATTTATTGCATAACGTATTGGTTGGCTGTACGCTTACTCTTACAGACATCACAAATTCCATTTCGTCTGTCCATCGCATCCGTTTACTATTTCCCAGTCAGTAAACTCGGATAAGGTTTCTAGTCGATGCACGGGCCGTTCACACCGTTAGATAAACGAAAAGGAAAAAAACCGCTATAATACATGGGTCAGGATTCAATGCGGACTTACTCGTGCCGAGCAGCTTAGCGCAAGGGGTTCCGGATTCCCACCAGGGCAGCTCGGTTCTTCCGTTCCACTTGTCAATCCTGTTGAAGTACCGGAGATCAACGCTTCCTGTGTACACATTGAAAAGACCTTCGTCGGTATCATTTTTGCCCGACATGTACGCAAAGCGGCCATCCTTCACCGGGACATTTGGGTCGATCACGTGAGAAATATGGGCGAGAACGTCCGGGTATCTACAGGACATTATATGCCTATTAGTGCGTAGCGTTGATTTTCTATTTTTTTTTTTATTAGTTAAGCCGAATAGACATTTTATTAAAAACTAACTGATATTTTTCGATTCGTACAAAATATTTTCATACCGAACATTCACCTACTTGAGAGGAATATTCGATTAAATAACTGGAAGCGACAAAGAATGTCATTACTATATAGTAAAAACTTTTGGTTTATTTCCGGCGGTGCAATTTGATTGAAGGGATCTTTAACATTGTTACATTATTGGTAGTAACTGAAGGAACTTAGAACAACTTCTTGCTTCGTCTAGATATGATGAACGCACCCTTCGTAGGTAAGCTGTCTGATCGAACGCCTGATAAACAGCGTTTCATTGGCTGCATTTAAAAATATCAAAAAGGCCAATTTGATTAACGGCGATGCGTTTCGGATTTTCTGGCTAGCCGCCTGTAATACAACAGACAAAAACAACGAAAGCACATACACAAGAAGAAGACGAGTAAACGTTACCTGTCAACTTAGACAAAAGACTATTCAGAAAGGTGGTAGGATAGAAGTCTGTTACATACAGAGACTGCAGCACGGTGAAGACTGGACTTTTTTTTTTTATATATTTTTCATAACTGCTATAAATTTCTAGTACGAAGGTGTTTCATCTTCATCAGCTTGAGCTGACACATTTGCACTATCAACGTAGTAAATGAATTTTAACTCCCTTGTTGTTTTTAATTTGGAGACAGGTCAAATCGAGCGCTTAAGTGACGAAAGCTTTTTTTAGCCATTCAAAATGAGTAAATAGCTTAAAAATATGTAGTCTACTGATAAGAAAAAATCCATAATAACCCACCACAAGTGGTGTGTTTATTGTGAAGATAACATCTTCTTGGTCGCCCGCCGATTGTTCTCGATCAAACCAAAAACGTTTTCTTTCACGATATTGAAGAGTCCCGTTTGCGTGCCATTCGACAGCTTCTTTTACCCATTCGGATCTACAAAATTAGCCTAGATTAAACTCCAGTGTTAACGAAGCTTACTACTAAAGCTGACTATTTTTGCTAAGTATATCGTAATTCAAATAGGATGGATAATGAGGATAAGGAAAAGGCCAGATATGCAGCATACTTTAATAGTTTAATAGAACTACCGTCCCTGCAATGGTACTATAAGGTCGAAACCTTAAGCGGATACACTCGTACTGCAAGCTACCGTCAGAAATCTAAATCTACCTTCAGGACGTAGGGTCTCGAAACACTTCCATTACGCTCTATTCACGGCTTCTCGAGGTAAATAAGGCCAGTGAGCGGGTTTTTTTAAAGCTTATTTTTGTTGGCGTAAAAATTATTCGAAATTATTTGTTGTGGCTTCGTAAATGTTGTCTGTTTTGTCACGTCGATTAATCGGCCTAGATTAAGATATGCTACACTGTCTCGTCACTTACCGCCATGTATACGGTCCAACTTCTTCCAAGACGGGTTTTTCACCGAAATTTAAGAACTCATCGGGATTGGTAACGTTGAAATAATAGAATCGTTGGTAAATTGGAAATGGCACTTTCTTCCACCCGTTATAACTTTCACTTCCCGGCTTAAGGGGTAAACGATGGCTCAACAGAGTCTGGAAGAGCGGATGAAGCGTCAGGATTCCTATGCAGCCAAGGAAACTTACCAACAAACTCGCGGAGATTAGCACCACTGGAAAAAATTAGCAACCGACAGTATTATAAAATCAGCAAGCATGATTTGAAATGCTGGGCTCCTACAAGAACTCAATAAATTATAATGTAGGTTCGCGCGTTTCAAATGTTATCGTCTCTATATATTCCGATTGTGTTGCATTTAAACATCTTTCGCCGACAGCTCTAACCTATTGGATGAACTGAGCCCTGAATCGAAACACTTTGATACATTGACATACAAACGGTGACCAAATAAAATAAGGCATGTAAATTAGAACTAGTTGATGTAACTAGTACCTAACATAATTATCTACCAGTCTGTAAAACGGGATCAGACTGACAACTTACATGTTACCCTCTGCTTTTCAGAAAATCCGGTTGCATGTTAACGCAATTCTACCAATTACTTACGTATCAGTATCAGTAAGTTAACGTACGCTAACATTTTAGGCTAGACATAAGTGATTGAATCATCATTACGACACTTTAGTCAAGGCCGTGCGTACATTTCGCGTGTACTACGTGACCTGATATCTAGGCCACAATCTAGAATCTCTTCGCGTTTTTGTACAGGCATTAGCTCACAATACAAGAGTCCCCCTGGATACTGGCCCCCTGGCTCAAATGATCGCGTCAGCTCAGCTCAGCTCAGCACAGCAACGCTGTGCTTTTTTTTTTTATTTAAAAAAGATCATTCTAGACTGTTAGAAAATAAAGGACAGATTTTCTGTGTTAGAGGTTCTCCATTTTGGTGCTCGAACGTTTTAGGGAACACCTAGAATTAGGTAGTTCTGTACTAGCTAAACGAATATCTTGAGCTGTTCAAAGAAGAGTGGTGCGAAATGACGCCAGAAAAAAGCCATATTAACAAAGCGAGAAGAGATGTCGATAGCGCGTTCTAACGGTAAAATGATTACCATAATTAGCGGCTATTGGCAGCCTGGAGGAGGGAACTTTTACAATGGTTAATGAGTTGAAAGTAATCTCTGCACCTGTATTTGCATCTCGTGCTAGACAGTGAAGAAGCAGATCTGGCGCGCCTCGCAATGTCACGCTGATACAAACGATTCTGTTACTCAGTAGTAAAAAGATCCGATGTAGTAAAAACAACGATTATAAAGCACAGTTAGATATACTGTGCTCACTGACCACGTGGCCATCATGGACGTCGCGAAATGAAAGAAAAGAAGTAAATTCGGATGCCAGGTTAATTGTATGAATCGTTTGCGGTTTGTCCTGTTCTGCTATTGACTATCGCTTCAAATAGTTGTTTGTCGTTCACCGAATTCGAGAAGATCGCATAGCATTTGGCCTAAGAAATCCTGGAGTGCTGCAAGAATTTCAGATCTATGATCGACTGTCAGTGAAGACCACGCGGCAGGAACCTATTGCTATTGATTGTATCATATAATAATGAGTTAAAACGGTCCGCGAGTTCGCGAAGACTATTGATCGGTTAGATATTGATATTTACATACATAGTATACAGAGCGGGCTCCTTTAGTCATTACGTTCGTAAATTCTAGTCTATAACGTAGATTTGAACTTTTGTACCCTAACGGTGTCTGAACCAGCAGATGTTTCTTTTACATCATAATCGTAATAATATCTTGTTTTGTAATTTGTGTAGCAAAATCAACGTAAATTGAATTATTATTTCAAATAAAAATTGCGCTGCCAATTTGCACACCAATCGAAAGCATGCAGGACTCAAGCTGCCTGATGTCTTCAACAGTACAGCTATCAAGAGATGAAACTTCATGACATAAGGCAAACAAGTTAAAATTAAGCAAGCAAGTAAGTATGTTGGCAAGAACTTCACCTACTGTGTTATTTTCTGATGACTTTCGGACTTGAATAATAAACAAGTTCAGTTTAAGAAGCATGCTCTTGAAATGAATTAGATCATATAACTAGATTAGATCCGATCTACGCTGATCGAACGTTTCTTTTTGTGTTGATCGCGTGCGGTCGAGGACTCGCCTTGATTAAGACATACATGAAAAACGCATGTTGCTGGACACTGCCCTAACGGGGCTTTCGTTACAAAGGCCTTAATCAAATAATAGCTAATCCTTAAAACATTCGGGCCGTTTGTCCGTCAAACGCCTCTGAGAAATAGCACTCGCCGAAATACGCCATTCGTGCTCGCGTCGATAAAACAGAGTTTCGTCGTTAGTTCTGACGATCACATGCCAGCGTAGACCACTATTTATTACGTATCCTGGGAAGGGTCAATGAGATGCTCGTCTGCGGAAGCTAGCCGTCAAAAGTTGTAGCTTTCATTAAGCCAAAAAGACGCGTTTGGTTTTTTTTGGTCAATATTCTGTGGCCAGAATTGAAGTGTTTACAGCTGAGCCATGTTTGCGTCTATGAATAAATCTCTTACCGTAGCTTTTCTTCAACCCCATGCTGCCGTGGCGGTTCACCCCTCGCCGTTTTATCGCATAGCTGAAACAGAACGCACGAGCAGACATTATTATGATTTGTATGTGTCGTCTATGAACTGATCCTTGCCACTAAACGAAAAGGCATTGATACAGAAAAGCCATTCGACATGTTATAACTGAGGAAAAACATAGGTCATTTTGTGAATTCCATTTTATTTACATTCTTCTTACATGATACTTTTTACATAGCTTATTAGTGGTACCTTGCCCATGGTGTCTTATTGAAGAATCAGCTCAATTGCCTTTTAACGAGCATTCCGTGATAATGCCGCCTCAAAACCAGGTATGACTTCTCCCATCATCACCATTATTATTGTTATTTTTATGATAACATCTCAAGAATAATGACCATCGTTTGGCTAAACTAACCTACAAGATGCGAACTCTGTGACTGGGTCATTTCCTTTAATTTGGTCGACAGGGATGAAAACGCGCTTAACAGCGTTAGGTCTTCGGTGTCAACCAATTGCTCTAGAGTCCTATATTTTTGAGGAAATAGGTCCATCCCTCTATAGCGGTTATCTATCGTTGTGAACAAAATTAGAAACGTAAAGCTGAACATGACACAAACAGCCTCATAGTTAGCAAAAGGTAGGTCAGTTACTGATGTGAAGATTGGCCTTTATTTTTCAAATTAGGGACTTTTTTTACTTCAGTAGTGCCAAGTTCAGTTTACAACACGTATGCAGAATGGTACCACAAGACCCGGGCCAGCTTTCATAGGCAAATTTTGGTGGTGACATTCATGGGTACTACATTTGCTCCTCCATCGCTAATTCACAACAAGTAGCCAAATATTACTGTCTCGCATATTATGAAGATAACTAGGTTCAATGACCATTTCAAAGAAGGTGTAAAAAATTCGGGCTATAAATTTCAGAAGTCAGTTATTTATTTTAACCTATGCCGCTATTTTTATGTTCTTACTTTTTCTGCCTTTTCAAACGGGAGTAGTCAAACGGCTTCAAATAATTTAACTTGGTAAAATAGTGTTGCATATAATTCAACGTACGTTTGGTTCGGCCCGTGGATTTTAGTCATAGACAGAGCTTTGCTCCTTTTTCATTTAATTTCATTTCGATTATGAACGACCTCCCAAACCCGAAGGTAAGTGGGGCAGCAATGATCCCTCCGTGAAGTCGTTCTTTCTTTTGTAACGTCTACAAGCCAATCTAAAATGCGGAAAGCTTCTCGGTAAAGGCAAGTAGCCTAAGACCCGAAAAATCGCTAAGAGACTTTATCTCTTAGGGTTTTTATGAGTAAAAGGCGAGCAATATGCGAAGCTCAAAGGCAACCATTCTCTAAGAACATGTCATGTTGACAGGCCATGGTCGTATACGTAGCAGCATCGAAATTAAACTCGAGGTTCCAAACTGTTGTACAGCGTAAGCTGCTATGATTTGGTCCAGCCTGAATCAGTGTTGTTTCATTAGAAGGGGTAGATATATATATCACGATCGTCATATTTTTTGTCTTGCAGAAATGTTAGCAGCCGATAGCGACAGCGTTCTAACGCTATCTCACAGGTAAAAAAGTGTCCCCCTTTGTGAACAAGACGTTTTTCAGCCTTCTTCAGTAACTATAATTATGGCGAGGTCTTGTTCCCTGAAGCGTCTCACGAGGTTATTATTGAAGACGAATGTTCATTTCGCTAGTCCTATAATAGCACGCTAACGTCTCACGCGAGTCGAATTTGGCGAAAGTGACTGGGGTAGAGCCTAGTTCCGAAATAAACCTACTAATGTTTGATTCGAGGTTTTTATTATTAGATAGTACGAATCTCATCAGCTCTAGGCAAACTCAATCTAGAACGACATGGTCCGATATCTTTTTCTAGCAGAACGATACATCGTATCGCCATATCTTAGAATAACAATAATACTAATCATTTCGAATTCTGCTCGACATAATAATGCTCATTTTTACATAGATTTTTAACATATATCAGTCCCTTTAAGGTAATTTGCCTATAGCGCGCGTGCAAGATAGCATGAAGGCAAGCTTTTCGATGTGACCAGTTTATTCGTAAGAGAATTTACTTAAAAGGGTGTATCAGCGATGTGTTTTTCTCTGCTGCTTTGAATTACTGTGAAGTGTTCTCACAAATTTTGCGATATTTCAACTAGTTCACCTTATTTCTATCATTTCCTATGGTTATTCGATTGCATCTAGAAACGACATGGAATAGCGTGATGTGATAATGAAAATGGCAAGCGAGCTGCGATTCATTGGCAGCAAATCATCTGCGTTGCAGGGTGCCCCACCTCTCGAATCGTACCGACGAACTCGTGCAATAAAGATCACCACCAACTGCGTGCATCGACGCGCGCAACAATCTTCATTTACTAATACGGTGATTACCTTTACATGTGAAATTTACTAGAGAACATGTTTTTTTCTATTTCTGTTTCAATAGACGATAGCGGAAAGCGGTGTCTCAAAAAAAGAGAAAGAAAAAAAAAAACGCGAAGAACGTTTAGTAGTAGTATAGTTCATGTTAGGCACCAACCCGTACGTAAGCGACAATTAATATAAAGATACTATTGCAATGGCACAATTTCGAATACAAACGTTGTAATTCACTGGGTAACTGTGCCAAAATTCGGCAATGGTAATGGCGGCCCTTTTTGAAAATGGTGGCTTCTAACAATCTGCTATTGCGCACAAATCAACGTTTAGAATCAAACAACACATTCGAGCATGTCGGGAACAGTTATATCCCAACACATTATGCGGCAGTGTTTGGCCATATTTTTCAGTAAGATGATTATGTAATGAATTTTCTATGCGATTTGAGTAAAGATTACTAACTAAAGCTATTTAGCCGGCCGGATTAAACAATGCCATGAGTGATTCATATTACCTTTGCTGGTAATGGCGTATATGGTGTCGAATCGATACGCCCTATCGGTGCCAGACTCGAGTGGGTCACACATTACAATGACGTTACAATTATCCGCCATGAGTGCTACGCTATGTTAACACTGTGTTTACAATGAAGATGTAGAGGAACGGAATTAAAGAAAAAAGGAAAAAGAAAGATGGCCGACAACGTGACGCGTTCAGTACTTCCCACATTGTATTGTGCACATTAGCATGATCGATCTAACAATCGACGCCTGCACATTGTCTTAGTGAAGATAAACCTTGTGAATTAGTATTGCTCCGAGATTATCCGCCATATTACTATCGCACGTTCAGCTTCTATTACGCTACCTATTATAACGAATATAGACGACCAGATACGTAATGGTGGGGTAAAAAAGAAGCGACAATAAAGAAAGAAATTACAAGATAAACGTGGGTGAACATTAAATAATCACCTTTATTATCAATAAAAGACGGCTACCAACAACGCGGACCAAATATGCTGTACTGCCAATGATTCGGATGGGAACTGCCCGCTTTAACATCTACCGCGGCCAGATAATCGAAGCCTAACTCCGTTGGATCGGTCAATATGTACATGCTTCGCACCTGTCCACCAATCCTGCCTCGTCATCCCCCGAGACGCAGACCAATCGTCAATACAAACACCCGATAAAAGATAACGCTTGAGCTTAGAGCGGAGCTTCAAACGTTATTACAGTTTCACACTTTAGTATGCAGATAGCAATTTTTAATAATGTCTTCTTAGGAAGAAAAAAGCAAATAATAATGATATATTGGACATCTGAGGTAGGGCGAATAATTTGTCTTCTAATCCGTTCTTGCTGTTCGGCTGGGAAATCGTCGAAATGTTAGTACTACGTAACGTTGAAGGGTACCCAGTGAAGTATAGCTGCCACTTAAACGGAATGGTGTTGTCTAGAGAAGAAAACCACTAATCTGTTTAATTGCTGAAATCTCTGAAGTCTTTTAACTGGGTAGCTAGACATAAAAGGTGATATTATAATAGAATATAATGCAAATTACATATGCGACACAGTTGTATCTGCCAGGCAATTTTGTCGTCGCCTCCAGCATATGATAGATTGAAAGAATATAGAACATCCTACTATCGAAGTTTAGGCCTCAGGCGATAGCCCAAAATTATCTGTTCTCATATATAGGACGCTAATAAAATAACGTACTTAGTCTCTATTTGATATTTTCGATGCGTTTTGTGCATGGGCTAGGAACGAAGGTGCCAAGACGAAGACCTCGAAGAACGTCAGCTGAAGCAAACATCAAGAGAAGATGAACAAGTGCACATCAGCTGTTCACCGTGGCAGTAGTTCGAGGCGCATATGAGTAGTATTAGCGGTAAAGGCCACTACGAAATAGCTATCCAGTCAGCCGGTGCGTCAAGCAGCCACATTAAGAACATTAAGATGTAGTTGACCCAATTGGCGCCGGTGCCGCTGATCTGGCATCGGTTTCCTGCTCCAGCAGCTGGTCTTCCCTCTTCAGCAGACGAGCCATATCATCGACAGGAAGACACATGACGGCACTATGCTGCCCGCCAAAGCCGTCAGCGACTACTCAACTACACATTAGTTTGTCAGTTAAGGCAATGGCCAAGCAATGTATTATACGCATTGTAACCCCTTACTTCTAACGTATACATGCTGCTGATACGGAACAAAGAGCACGCTTGCAGTCATCTAAATAGCCATCAAAGATTATACATCACAGTAGAAACTGCACCTACTTACAGCTCTTTTTTAACACGCGCAGATGTATCACCTGCTTCGAACTTGTTTTACGAACTTTCCAATCTAATTAGGAGAACTATCTGCTCTTGTTGATGGCAAACGCGTAGCTCGAAATGGAGGCAAGGAACGGGCGACTCTGCAGCGAAACTGGTTGCCGAATCATTCGACGAGTGAGTGGCCATCGGCACAAGAGGGTAAACATGTGAAACGGTCGCGTTCAGCAAGCCGATTCAACTGGTAACAGTCGAGGCGATCCTCGCCAATTCCATAACCCAGTAATATACCAGCAGTCGCTTCCAAACCCAGGTACAACGGGATTCGGCAATAGTTCTATTGGCGTCGGCTCGGATACGAGAAGTAAAAGTCTTCGGTGGTCTTTTTGGGGTCACGAGGAAACTATGTCGACGTTAGCGGCGCAGTCAATAAACGCGACCAAAGCTGTTTCTTCTGTTTGTGCCGACGGCTCTGGCCCGGCAACGACGTTTGCGAACGGTCGATCAATACATGTTTTGCGAAGACCGAGTCGGTTAAAGCAGATGTGTGCTTCAAACGCGCGTTCGTCGAAAGCTATCTCTTGAGGCGCTCGAATATTGACCGTACTACATACTGACTTTCTCTGTGCTAACCGTTGGGACAGGGGTCGGCAGCATCGATGGAAACGCTTGGCGCTCTATGCACGCCTTGAGTGAAGAATGACTTTTTTACGGGCTACAACTACTACAAAGACCTACTGCGTGGCAAGTGGTGCGTTTTATTACACAGAATGCAAAATCGGCTTTTCTTATATGGCGTAAATCATTATTTTTAAAACTAAATACAATAGGACATAGGAAATCCGATGAGCTAGAGCGAGCCAAACAGCAGCTTTCTACGAGAACCATTTTGTGTATTATTTGATAATTTCCAATTGATTGGCGTGCTTGTAAATTCTAATTTGTATAATCTGATTATAATGAATTATCCTCCACATATATATATATATATATATATATATATATATATATAAAACCTGCGCGCATGTTTTTTACTGCCGGGAATCCATAACCTCTTAGACTAGTTAAGAGCGAAAAAATGAGGGTGAGAAAAGTTCAGTTGCAACGCCAATTTGCTGTAGGCAAAATTGCCCCAGAAATGTAATCCAGCGTCGGTGACTCTATTAATAAAGACATTCAATAGAGGCGATTTGGGAATGATTGTTCGTTTTGGATGCCATTGCAGGGATATGTACACACACCAGAAAGTCACATATTTAGTCTCGTTAACATAATAAAGGAACGTCAGCGGGCCTGACAAAGGCAGCTGCAGGGAACAATAAAGGCTCCCAGCCATTGAAACGTGACTACGAAAAAATAAATGTTTCTTTCATCCTCATGCCGTTCGTTCTCTCACAGTATATCTGCCGATGATGACACGCAAGTCGAAACGGCTCCACTGTAAACTACTGTCAAAATTAGGGCTTAAATAATAGTCACCGCAGTAAGCCAATATAGACTACAGCCGGCTTTTGTTCAAATAGATGTATCCTGTACATAGCAAACCATTTTTACCCATATAGGCCACAGCCAATGGCGCTAGTAGAAAGTTCCTGTTAGGGAAAATGAGAGAAGACGATGGCAGGGCAAATAAAATTAGTATAAACGTTCGTTCTTTAATGGACTATAAGCTTCTTCGATGCATCGTAGAAGGGTATAGGTGGAATGACAACCAGAAAAATTGTTTGCTCAAGTTACGCCAGAAGTTCTCATATGATTTTCACTTCGCCGGGTTCCAACTGACACAAGCGTCATTTTAACTTCAGGATTGAGCGCCGAGTTTTAGATATAGACGAACCAATTCTGTCTTTGCTACAACATGGTCCGTTTACGGCTGATAGCCAAATATTACTATCACTTCACTAATGTTCTTTTCGTACGTGAGATTTCAGAGAAGCTCAGCTGGTCTGAATGCGCGAATTCACAAGACGTCAGGTAGGAATGGTGCCTTGTTTGGAGGTGAAGCTCAGTGACGTTTCGCTAAGACGACTGTTTTAAATTGGGCTGTAGAAATCTTTCTAGCTAGAAGCTTTTCCCAAGGGTATCGCGTACGTGAGCGAGTGAACATTTGCTTCATCGCGTAAAGTAATGCTTGCTTTTGCCGACACTTCTTATCTGTATCATTATATTTAAAGAAAATTCGTTTATGCAAGTTTACATTTCAGTAAGTATAGATCTTTTCCTCGAAGCATATATTAAGTTAGCCAAAAAATAGTGGCGGTTTTGGTTTATCGCTATGCTTCTTTAACCTCTCATTTGTGAACCACTCACTATAATAAGCAACCCTTTTTTTTGACTCCACAAAGCCATTGTCATGGTTTTGTCAGAATCACGAATTTTACCGTAAGTTCAAGCTCCGAAGAATAATATGTTGAGTGAAAAACGAGTCATTTTGCAACACTGACTTTTCGACGATCACAAACAAATCGAAGATGCTCAAAACGTTTGGTTTTTGTATGGTGAAGACCTTATAACTAAGAAATAATATCTCATCTAAGAATTACTTTTTTTTTTTTAAACCGTCTTTGTTCAACCCAAAAGGCCTAGTCGAGTATATCAAGCATCCGACCCTTGAGTAGCACTTTTAGTTGTGGAGTTTTCGCGAGACACGCGACACCTATTCGGAAGTGGCTGTAGCAATTTTTTAATCTTCATAAAACGTAAGTGACAAAAATACTATGTTTTGAACTTAACGAAATCCTAGTTTAGGGTGATTTGTTTACCGAAGTCCACAAACGAAAACGACCGATTGTCGAGCAACGAATTTTTAAACAGTGCACCATAAGCTTCACCATGAGCAAAGATTCAACTAGAAAACGAACAAACGACCTAGTAACCTAATAACACTCAACGGCAGCTATTCCTGACGGACTACGTAGCCTGCAATTACAAAAAAAAAAACATTCCGCATTCCTTTCGAAATAAGTCCGCCTCTGTTTCAACACTCGAGTGTTCGTTTTACTTATTATATCAATATTTCTAGCTTTGTCTTCTACTTAACCAGCACTATTTCATAAAATCAATCAAAATATAGCCGGGTTCATTTGTTCTAGCTGAGCTGCAACGCATCAAACTATGCCTCGACAATAATAATAATAGATCTTCGTAAAGACGGCGCGTTAACAAGGCTAACAGGTGCGTTCACTGCTCATCGATCTAGTTCAGGTTATTAAATACCCACTGATTTTTGTTTCGCTCTTTAGCTTTTGACGTCCCACAACTAATCACTCCAGTGCGCTATCAGAACGTCCGCAGTAGAATAAATTATCCCTCGTTTTGCATTAAGCACAAAACGGCGTAACAACAAGCACCAGGCATGCAGGAATAGGCAAGCACCAAACAGAACCAATAGCGTTCCTTTTCTCTTTGGCACGACCACAGCTTGTTCCTTTTTCGCCGGTATTACATACCTCCTTCTGGCTACGAAATTACAGAGGAGTGCAGACACTTTCACATTTGATCACGCCGTTGGCCAGCGGCGCTGCGTCATTCACTCTGCGGATTTCTGCCGCACATGCAACGTCGCTACAACGCCATCGAGACGACATACGCTTTCCTCGCCGATATGTCAGCGCGATCCTTTCCGATCAGCTATGGAAAGACTGAAAACAAGCGGCAGCGCCCCCAGTGGCGGGCTCGCAAAGCTCGGTCCCGCTGAGAATACGCCGTTACAATTCCGGTGCACTCCAAACAGACCGCGCCTAATCCGTATAGAAGGCCTAGGGTACCACATGAAACCATCTAATGTTTATAACTTTTTGACACTACGTATTGATATACAACGACATCGATTGTTTTCAAGTAGTTATAAGTACATGATTCGATCGTGGCTGGGATGGGGGGAGGGTTTGTAGATCGATTTCCGCTAAACAAGCTCATGCATTTCTAGTAAAAAACTTTTTTTTTTTTGTTTTCGATTTTGCTTTTTTGATAGTGCTGTTGTGGTTCCGATTAAATTCGTTCGTGTACGTCGAAGTAGGATGCGAAAAATTCGAGAATAGATATTATTTGGGTCGTATTCACATGACTGATGACAGTTGACCCAGCTCTAAGTTTACTACATAAGCGCCTCTAGTCTAACACAGAAAAAATAAGCAGAATAAAAAAGCAATTACGTAATATCAGTACTTTTTTGTCGACCTAAAAACGGGCGGATACGGAAAAATCGATATTGGGTTAGGTAATGTGCGATATACCACTTGGGTTTTCTTTGCCAGCATATTCACAGGGGAAATCTTATCAATTTTCGGCTAAAATATCTTTCTAGACATAATGTTTTATTACTTTACTGAGAAATGCGTTTGTGCTCGGTTGAGTGCCTCGCTTCTGCTCTAAGTCTGCGTAACTCCAAAAGACAGCCAGGCCTGGAATAAAGGCCCTTCAAGACAGAGCATTATATTGTTGTTTTTCTTTTTTTTTTTTTCAATCTATATTAGAATGTTTAGACCCTACAAAAAGTCACCAATAGGTAAGAACCTGTCTACACAACAATAAATAGTTTGTTAAAAAACACAAATAGCTTGTCTCTATTAGCAGGCCAAGGAAGTTGCATTTTTTAATACAGTCTAACTATATTTTTCACTACAGTATTTTCAGATAGTGTTGTACACAAAAAAGTTAAACTTGATACACCGCATTATTCCTCCGTACCATAATTGTGACCAAAGGATCACATAATTTCCCACAACATCGTTCTACAGGTTTCGAACGACTGTATATAACTTCTGATCGGAAAAGTTTCTCACGGATAAATAACCCACTCCAGGAGAGTGACCTTCTAGAGAAACAGGACGTAGTGACTAATGAATCGACTCATAGACATAGCTTTGCAACTTCCAAATATTAGAACTTATTTGTTTCATCATCAAATATAGATTTATTTTACCAATATGTTTTACAAAGGGTACCAAACTGAATAAATCTGATACGTTCCCACTTGATGATCATTCACCAAATCAAGTAAAAAAAAAACCATCGTTTTTATGGATACGAGCTATTTGCGTATAACATTTCGTTTTTTCGGAGCGCGTTTATATTTCCTACCGACGAAAATTTGTATGCTGTAAACGTCAATGGGAAGGTACTAGAGCCCTTTATAATGAGATATTGCATAATAACGGTCTAACAATCCAAGCGCTATCTTTAAGTTATAAATTAGAGTTGCTAATATTATGTCTGGTACTGCCGCTTCGAATCACTTAGGGCATGTTTATGGGACGACTAAAAATATACGGCCATTGCAAAATTTAAGTAAAAAAATATACCTGCAGCAATGCCAGCATCACACTTCTGTCAGACATCTATGGGTAAAGTTATTGGGAGTAACTTGACCTGACGTTATTGAAAAATTAGTAATATGTAATAAGATAACGTTTCGATTATGAGCATCAAATGGGAACTCTAGACTTCGTGCGTGCATTTAGTACTTCGAGACAGCTGATACTGTAGAGTCGATCCGTTACAAAGGCTATGGGTTTGCCCGTCTTATCTTTCTAAACCTGCATTCTGCCGACCCGAAAAAGTTTTCTGCATAAACACTTCTTATTCTTTGAGCAACTGGCTTTGATACAATGCGTTTTAATTTAAGGTACTATGCGTTTTAATTTGTTCAAGTGTCAGTTCTCACGGCCACTTTGGCTTGACTAATCAAACGAATGAATCAGCGATGCCAAGTTACTTAATTAAGCTTTTCTTTTTTTTTTTTGCTTTTTTATTTATTATCAACTTTTCAGAGCTAGCGCACCTCATGGCTTCTTATGCCCTAGATAAAAAGATCCGAGGGCCAGAAGTTGTAAGACACTAAGGTTATAATGAAAACTGCCGACTCTGACTAAGTCCGTCGGACGAGTCCGTCCTTGCTATGCCTGCGTTCACTAAATAATCAGTTTATAACTATGGTAATAAGAAAAACGTATAGTATTAAAATGGTTGCTGTTGACTGATATTAATATATCGATCTTTATGGTTATTAGTTTCTATAAATACTAGTAGCTCTGCTTGGTATTCTCTAACACCTATTGGGGTTGCGAAAAAGAATCCGATATATGACTGATAGCATCGGCTTCATCAATCGATACATAGCTGACGCTTTTACGCTCCTTAATAGGCCTTCCTATTGCCCTAAGGCGAACTGAAGACGTTGCCAATTGGGTCTGACAATTTTTGGCTTACGCATTATCTTTCCAAACGTTCTCGTTCTTCCCTTCATTTACTGATCTCGATTAAACAACAAGCTACCATCCAACGCTTCTGTCTATGACCTCGAATTTCATGTCCATGTTTGTGGACCTCACCATTTCGAAGCCGACAAGCGGCACAGAAGCTGCTCGGTTTACGCGCGTAGGCGTAGATTCTCATCGAAGCAACTGCTAGGCGCAGTAGCCCGGTGAAGAAAGTTTAATATATCAAGCCACATTGGAACGCCTCGGTGGGAGTAAGTTGTACTTTAGGTGATCTGCTCATGTACTAGCTCAAAGCAAAATAGGACCTATTAAGCGGTAGCTGAGCTCGGTAATGATCCCTGATGCCATCGGTCGTCCGCGCTTCTGATTTGTTTGTTTGAGCATAGCTCACGCACACTCAAAGAGCAGTAATGACGGTTCCAGCCATAGTGGGTCTTACATTTGCCTGTATTTTAGCTATGTAAAGTTAAGCTCTACAAAAGAGAAGCCTACAAGTACAATGAGCCGCATGACAGGTGATCGAGTGTGCTTTTTTTTTCAGGTATATCTTGATGAGCCTGTAACGTCTGTCTAGATTTATACACTAACTTTATACTTTATTTGGTAATCTAAATATACATTGGAATCTATTAAGAAATTGTTAACGATTTGAATTTATTTTTACAATATTTTTAATGTTTTTTCTTTGACAGCCGTAATTGAACTGGCCAACATTTTCATATGGCTAGATATATCTAATGAATTTCCAATAAGAAAAGTACTCAGTGATGGCATAAGTCGTTAAACGAACGGAACGATAATGTCTTTACGTACAGAAGAGCTCTACTATCGAAATTAGCGTGACGCTCGGTCGATCAGCGGCTGCCAAATCCCAGTAACGTCACAGTGAAGAAAATGAACACAGCATGAAAAACAAGTTGTGTTTGACCCTGATTTATGTACGTATATACATATGTATACGTGTGTATATATATATATAAACAATTGTGAGTCGTAGTGAATGTATTCAATTGGAAGAAGGTTCCGGTGGACAGATGTTTCTAAAGCTAAATGCTTCCAGCTCCGAATCCGATGTCGCATTACGAGTACAAGCGTGGGTAACAATTGATCTATCTGCTCGATAGATTTTAACATGTTCAAATAACTATGCCAATGCGAGATGTTTGTGATTCGGCTAGAGCCAATGGACCATCTCCATATGTTGAACTTTTATGAAAGCCCTATAAAAGATCGAGCATAAAGGATAGCTTCCGTTGAAATCGAATCCCAACAAAGATGGACAGTGGCTCAGACAAACGTATTATATAGATCTATTGATTATTAGAGGGCGAGGCGAATTCAGTGAAGGGTAGCAGACAGGAATGAGGTGAACTCTAGAATAATAATTAAGTGATCTTGTAATAACACACCAGAAATGAAAAATGTAGTTTTGGATATGACTGCGCGAAACGTACTAGTAATAATCAGCACTGTTTTGCGAGACGCCGCGCAGTAGGCTGCCGCATCTCAAAAGAAACCTTCAAAAACATATTAATAAAAGCGCGTTTTTAGGACAGATTCGAATAAAAAGGCACGGTTACTTCATTTGTCCAACAGCGTTCATAGGGCCAACAGCGAAAAGTCCATATCAGAATCTGTTAAATGTAAACATCAACAAGAATATACAGAGGTTGAGCAATAGAGATAGGATCGTATCTTTCACATGTTGTATATATATACACATGTTTCACATACAATAGTACATCTGACATACAGAGCATTTAAGCTCGTGCAACGGGATCATATCATGAGAAATGTAAGAAAATATTGCCAAAAGCATACTAGCTAGTTTAATCAAACAAGCGTTTAAAGCTGCTCCCGAACGTCAGCAAAAGTTCAATGGCGGCATGTAAATTCCTAACCTATACAGCATTTAAGAAGCCTGAAGTCAGAAACCTGTAGGTATTTAGTATAAGTCGCCGGAACTACTTTAAAAGGTGAAAGTAAATTAAGTGAGTAGGTCGAATAACGATCATCATCAGCGGCTGTCGTCTTTGACTGTGATGCAACGCTCAAGGAACTTCCGAACTGGGTACTGGTTGAGAGATAATCCGGGGGAATAGAAGGGCGCATAGGACGGTTGGCGAATATAGCAGCAACGAACCCAGCATACCTTTCCACTTGGGCCTCTATAATTGTCTTTAGCCCACAGCGATAACAATCAGGTCAGTACGAACGTCCCGAAGTTAGTCAGACTGGTAAAAAGCTCGGCAAGAACTAAGCAAAGTGCATAAATTGACAGTTCAGCAACGCTGACCACTCGCCAGCTACGGAATATGGAAGGTCACGTCAAATGGTAGACTTCTCAGAGCAGCATGCGACTAAGGTCAAAGAACACGGATTTGTTTAGGACAATCGAAAGGACATGCAAAAGGAGCACCGCGCACTGCCAAAAGACATGCTTCGTTAGTTCGTAATATGGGCGATTGAAAATGCGTCCATTAAAACTCTAAGGACTCTATGGAGAAGCAACGCAAGCCGACGAGCCGAATCTGCCCCTGTAGGTCCCAAATAGGTCTAAGGGTCGCGTAGTGAAACTGTGAATGCACAGAAAATCTGCAGCTTCTGCCTTACCAATATGTTAATTTTCATAAACACCTGGTAGCAGCAAAGTTTATGGTGAGCAGGTTGCACGCCGTGTCCCCGCATGCTGTGTGGCGGATCTACAAGCAGACATCTTTGGATAGACGATATCATCGTTTCAGCGATTTTACGTTTCAACATGATCGCTTCCTGCGCGCGCGCCCCCATCAGACAATAGACATAATGTAGATGCTTCCACATGCTTGCCAAAGAATTTTACCGATTTAGATATTCAATTGAGTTAGTCGAGCAGTTCGTAACTAGAATTTTGTAAGAAGACGCAAATAACATTCACGTCTTCGACTGGATGATTGCGAGTGACAAATAGACACCAACGTTCGAAAAACGTGGGGGCAAATTTGTTTCGTACGCCACTTGTCTATATTACCTCCAACAGATATTAGTTATTTTTAAGCGCTATATAACTAGTTTGAAGCTTCAGGTTAGCTTGCGAAACACGACAGCGGTGAAGTTCCGCCGAAAACGGCCGTCTGCCGACAGCTGATCGACAGCCCAAGAAAACTTTCGCTCAGATCAACGTTGCTTCTCTTGTATTCGAAAGTGTTTTCTTGAGTATGATATAGTTTACAGCCTATAGAGAATCAATTGCTGCCAATCAACTTCGCATTTTTGACTGAGTAAGGCTAGCTATTTTCAAGCGAATCCTGGGTCGCAACGCGTCGGCGAGCACGTT